ATAAATTAAAACATGGCTGTGCTAAAAGGCAGCACCTTCTGCTCTAACCATTGTAAGCTAATATAAAAGAAAATTGGAAATTGGAAATCATTTGCTGCTAGTATGCATGGATTTTGTTAGTGTACAATAAAATAGGCATTCTGAAGTATGCTTTTAAAGAGGAGACTCTGTGACCTTTAAGATGTGCTTTTTAACTCTCTCGTCTCAAATAGGGATTCTCAAGCTTCTTTTATCGCTCTTGCTGGTTCTAAGAACCATCCTAGGTCTGAGAAAAGAAGATTGGGGCTGATGGTGGTGGGGGGGAGGGGAGAAACCCAGTACTGTTCCTAGAATTATGAGCTTTTTCCCCTTCCCTGTTTATCTATTCTGTACCACTCAGCTGTTCTCTGTTGCACAGAAATAAAAGTTTAGTTTAAAAAGTATGTTAGAACAAAGCTGCAGAAATTGCCTGGAATTTCCTTCATTTTCAGCCATCTGGCTTTCATTGCTGACTTCGTTCCCCTCCTCCACATACGTTTACCAAATCTTTTCAACACACGCTGGCCAAGCTATCAAATGCTTGTAATTAATAACAGTCATAGACTTTTTTTTTAAGGTAGTGCTTTCTGGTTTTCCTTGGGCTACTCATATCATTGCTATTATAATCCAGGAAGATAGCTGGTGAAGCTTAATCATTAAGACCTAGTTGAATTAAAAAAAAAATCAAATTTAAGTCCTGAATTTTTAGAAAATCATGTTGTCTTCTAAATTAGAAGTATTTATCACCAAAAAATGAAAGGGAAGGAGAAGAGAATGAATTTTTATGAGTGTCTAGTATGATTTTATTTTAGATATGAGGAAACTGAGGATTCAAAAAAATGTATGACCTCTTGAAGGCCAGATAGCTAAAAGTGTCAGGGTGGGATTCAACCACAGGTCTACATCTATCTGCTGGGTCTTTTACTGTGGTGGTTGCAGAGATATGAAAGATCTTTAGTGTATATTATAATATTAAGTGAAAAAATCAAGTTGCCAAATAATACATGTGATGAGATCCCATTTATAAAGGGAAAATATTACATATTTGTATATGTTCATATATTTATATATAAACTCATAGTAAAAGGTCTGGAAGGGTATGTACCACACCATTGGCAATGGTTTTCTCTGGTGAGAGGAAGGGACTAAAACTGTGGAATATGGTGGTGAAAGGGGAGTGTATACCTATCTTTTTTGGTTACTTCTGCTGTGCTTGAGTTTTAAAGAATGAGAATATTCATGTATTACTTGTGCAATTATAATACTTAGAAAACTTTCTTTTAGGGAACAGGAGGCTGACTTCTTTCCTAATAACTAGTCTTAGATCATTTTTGGATATTTCTCCCTTGAGCTTGTCTAATTCATCACTGAGGAGTTGGTAGGGTGGTGTGGCTTCTACACACAAATGACTCAGACAGTGGTTATGGTGCCTAAAATGACTTTTCTTTCGTGTAATGATCATTTTCTTGCTATTAGCTTTGATGGAAAATTCTCACTGGTGGCTCACAAGCAAAAATGGTCTTAATTTCATATGACCAATTTTAGGCAAGGTTCAGAAGGGATTGACACCTGTCCTCCATATCCCACCTTCCTTCTTTCCCAACTATCAAGCTTCTCCCTAGGTGATGTGAACAACTTTCACAACCTCTACCTGTCCCCTTCCCTTACAACTTTCTCAACCTCTACCTGTATCCTGTATCCTTACTTTGTGAGGGGGAGGGGTACTTTGCCAAACATAGCTAATAACATATAGGGTTCTAATGCTAAGGCTATTTATGTTTTAAATTGGTATTTAAAGCCCTAAGATTAAGGAAAGAATCAGCATCATCTGGAAGGTGAGAGAGAAGGGATAAGGAGGAAGGAGAGGAGAGAAGGCATCCAGTTCTTCCCAGCTATCATTGATACCATGGGCTACTCTAAACATTATTCCTTACAAGGTTAGCCCCAGTCCCTCATACTCATTTATCCAATAAACACTTAATAAGCACCTGCTATATGTCAAACATTAAACTGCGTGGTAGGGATATAGAGGGGCAGATTAAGAGATAAAGCTGATAGCAAGGACTATAAAATATAGTCTTCAATAGAAAACTATTTTTAAAAGTGCCCTAAAAATGTAGACATTACATATACGCATGTGCACGCACACAAACTGGAACAATTAGAATACCTCCAGCTTGAGAACACACCCTTCCTGCTGTGAATAACCAGGTATGAGGATGTACTTGCCCAAACCTGGTGAAGGTTAGACATGTGCTTCTGATGCAAATTCTGCCTTCACACAGATTCAGTCCGGAGAAGCCACGCTTCATCTCAGAAAGACCACGCAAACAGGACTTGCCCCCTAGGGCCTTCGGTGTTCTCCATGCGATCTGATAACTCTGACCACATACAAGAAAAGCGGCTTCCTAACTGGTGTTCACAGGACTCACAGCTTCCTGGGAAAGCTACTCATCTTACCCAGGGGCCACATCTCAGAGACAAAAGCCCAGTGATGAAGACTCTGAGACATCATTTCTTTATGTCCCACAGAAAATGTTATGGTATTTTTTAAACACATGGACATCAGCACAGGCCCAAGAGATCATTTATGGAAACTTGCATCCCATCAGAGGATGCACCATAATGTACAGGGAACATTGAACCACGTGGAATAAGAATTGTGAATTAACGATCTAAATTACTCCCAACTAAGCAGCAGTTGCATGGGAAAACAACACACTGTTATGCCCCTATAGAACACATTTTCTCTTCTGCATACACCTTACACCAAGCAGAAGAGAAGGAGAGCTTTTCCCCTGATGCCAGACTGAAATATTCCACAGGAGAGGCATCTCTGTACATAGCTTACTTTTAAGATGAAAATCTACTTTGGCTCTTGGATGGGAGATGAAGAGAGTGAGTCATATCAGGCTGCTGTATTTTGGCTTCCTTTATTGTTTTAACTAGTATCATTCTGTAAATGCTCAACCGTGTATGGCTGACCCATGAAATCGCTGGCTGTACCCAGTGAGAGGTCTTGCCTGTCAGTCTGACAGTTGGCTGGTGGGAAATCAAAGAAGTGAGTTGTTTTTCTGGAGCAAATGCAACAACATTAAGCCCAATAACAGTTCTTATCCACGAGTCATTAAAAGGTCATAAGATAAATTAAACATGTCTAATTTAACCATAGTGAGTACTTTGAGGATGAGGAGTAATATCTTGTATCCTATTCCTTTTGCTCCTCAAGGGATGGTTTAGTGGTTACAAATCCCCACAGGTTTTCAGCAAGTCCGGGTACTGAGCCCTTGACATTGCCTCAGCCCACTTCAGCATTTGAATGTCATCACAACACTGGAAGGTGGTTAGAAAGACCCTTCTGCTTGTTTTTCAAATGATAGCAAATACAGAGAATAGAAATGACAGCAATTAATGACAGCACAAAGAAGCAGGAGTAGCTGCCCAATGCTTCTGCCTGCAAAATAATGGAGAATCATGGGATATTTGAGCTGGACACGGTGAGCTCAGATCATCTCCTGCAATCAGTTCATCTTGCAGATGTGGAAACATAAAAGGCAGATGCCTTACTCTAGGCTGCACAAGTAGTGGGAGATGGAGGTAGATGAGAAGCCAGGTCTAGCTGGGGCCTCAGGCTGTGTGTGCAGAAGCCACTCTGTTTCTTCCGATATGGGGAACTACAGACAAATAGAAGAGTTTCCCCCTTTGTCCATGATCTTAGATCTTAGGCGCAATCAACTAGAGAGCTGTGTAGTTAGGACAGAGATGTGACACCAGGTGGAACAAGGATAGAAAAAGAGGTGCCCCAGGATTCCATACACTGGATCAGAGCTTTTGTTGGCCCAGCCCCTGACTCTCTTTTGCTTGCTGCAGTTCTCATGGGTGGGGTGCTTCTCCAAGCAGTGGCTGACTAATTCTCTGGATGCCTTGGAGAATGCAGCACTAGTAGCCCTCTTAACTTATGTGTTTAAAGAGGGGAAGCCCAGGCTTACCATTCAGAATGACACACAGAACAACTCTGGTGACCAGCAGAAGTGTCACTATGAGATTGTGCCTCCATCTGACTGGAAGAGGCCCACAATCTGCACCTTCTACATCTCAAAGAAAGGAATCTAGTTGGCTGAGAAATAAGACAAGCAAACTACTGTTAATCTTGAAAGCAAAACACTACTTCTTGTGTGATGCACTTTGAAGGAAGAGAAGACATACCATTCAGAACCAGCATTTCCCTTTTTATCTAGAATCTGACCTTATCCAGTAACATTCTTCATTCCATCAGCAGATTTGAAAGTCTGGCTTTGGTTCTTTAAATGTCTCTCTTCCAAATCAGAATTATATATGAGATTTGCTCAAAAAGAACTATCTAAAAGGCAAGTCTCTCAAGACACCATAAAATTGTGTGGACTGAAGCAATGATTGGATTGATTAACTCAATCAAGGCTGTGACTCCAGGTTGGGTAATAATGAGACCCAGGCAGGGCTGAACAATGAAATGCTTTAATTGATTTTACGCATGTGGAATGACAACCCCCACCCAAAGCATGCTATAATGAATCTGCATGCTGTGTGGATACAGATTTCACAGTGGATCAGTTATACCACCCAGACGCTTTGTTTCCTTATACCTGGCAATTCCCAAGCCAATTCATTACTGTAGTGTTAGTGCTTGGGGACACAGGCTGAAAGGTGGCAGAGCCCATCAAGTTTGTGGTCAGTTCGTGTTTTCTTTAGGGGCAACAACCGTGTGGCACGTGCACATACCAGCCATGCCACAAGGCCCGCTTCAGTGAACAGTGCCTTCTGGACTCTGCGTGATCATTGATTGGGCTGGAATTCCAAAGCCCTGGTTTCAATTAAATTTAAGTGGATTTGACTAAAAGTTTGAACTGATGCTAATTGGTTTTCAAAACATTGGGTAACAATGAGCACTCTGGTCTGGAGAGATGCACACTCCTGGATGGCAGAGCAGGTAATACGTCCCTTACCTTGCTGGGCAGGGGTCCAAATTGCAGGATTTCAGGAGCTGCGGGGGCCGGCGGCTGGTCACGCACAGGTTCTCATCAGCAGGCTCCCGAGTCTGTTTGTTCAGGCAGCTCACCACAGCCTCCTGGACACCTGTGTACAAATCACACTGTCAGGCCAGAGTGCCGAGCGGGCGTGTGTGGGGGGTGATGAAGTGTAGACAAGGCAGCTGGTGGGAGGTCTCTGTGATCGGTAGGACTCTCGCTGCATGTCAGAGTGTCAGAGACAGCAGTTTAATGCCCAGGACTGCTAATCTCATCAAGCATCTCTGGATGTGGGAGAAAGGACTCATAAGCATGCTTCCAGGGAGGGCCACTCCCTCCAAATACTGTTGAAATAATAACAGAAAGCCACCAAGCCATATAGCCACCAATGCTGAAACATGATAACTGGATGCAGAAGGAGTGCAAGGGTGACAACAAAAGGGCCCCAAGACCTTTACACATTATCTTTTCATCAAGAGGAGACAGCTGTATTTGGAAGGAAGGCCCAAGGCCACATTTTAAGATCTAATATTCTGTAAACTGCTGTGCTCTTGAGGCCATGCTTCCAGGACTCCACCCTTTGCTGGTTTCCTTCTGATTCTGGTTCATTTCTTTGGTGACCTGGGGCAGCTTTGGAAGTTGGAATCAAGATAAGAGAATAAGATATACAGTAACAGTCATGAAAAACAATCTCCCTACTGACATCCGTATACTGTAATGCAAAACAAGTAAAAGAGGAGTTTGAGCAGTGACTGGGACATGATTACTCGGCAGGTCTTCCAAGGTGGTCTGAGCGATCCCTGGCGGAGACCTTGCTGGAGCAGAGAAACATTTAAATAGGTAATGTAATGACCAGACATTTCATTCTGGTTCCCACAGTCATAATAACAATAGCTAACATGTACAAGGTGCCCACTGTTAGCCAGGTACCAAGACCAAGAGCTTGGTTTGCATCATCCAATCCTCTAGACAACTCCACAGGTAAGCATTACTTCTATCCCATTTTACAGATAAGAAAACTGAGGCTTGCAATGGTGAAAAGACTTGCCTAAGGTCACACAGTTGCTAAATGATGACGCTGAGGGTGGCTGTGTGCTTAGCACTGACTGACAGCATTAACATTTAAAAATACCAAGAGGCTGTCATCTCTGCTTTCCTGGAGATCTTCAGGAATAATGTAGACATTTGTCTGGAATAATTTCAGCAGAGTTCAGTTTAAGGGAAGAGGCGAGACAGGACATTCTTGCTAATTTGCTTCCAGCCACACATAGCTGTGTATGTAAAGATACCTACATCCAGAGATACCTATCTATAGTTAGATATTTGTATATAGTTATAGCAGAGTCTGTGACTAGCCATGTAATTAATTATATATGTAGATATATAAATACACACAAATTTTCTTATTTTTATTTTCTGCATTGCTTCATCAAATAGTACCTGACATAGTACAATTGACCCAACTCTTCTTAGCCTTGTGGCCACCTTCCTTCTTTGTACTTTATGTTTCTCCAAGAAGTCATCACCTCAATTGACTGCCCACTGCTTCCTGATATGACACTGACCTAGGTCACTTAGCAAGACCATCATTTAAAAAGTGACATCTCAGAGCCAGAGTCCAAATCACTTTTCTTTCTTCCTTGTAAGTCTGATAAATCAAACTTTTTTTTTTCTCCCCAAATCAGTCACAATATTTACCCTGTGGCCATGATGGCATCCTTTATATTTTCTTTTTTCTACATTTTTAATGAGCTTCAAAATTTAATTTAAATATATCATGGCCAGCTCAGGGTGGAGTCTTTGAGATTTATGCTCGACATTCAAATTATTCCATCATATTCTGTAATGCTGACTGCAGGGTGTTCTCTTCTTGGTTGCAGCTGGGATGAGCCATTTGAAATTCATGGTACGAGGATAGAGCAAAACACTTCATAAGAAATTGTTGATGTCATCACCGATACTTCCCACTGGAATCGTCTGGCATTATTAAGGTAATGATGGCAAGCCACTGGATGTAGCGTACTATTCCATGCAGAATCTAGAGCTGTGGTTACCTTAGAAATTAAGTTTTCAATTCGTTTGCTTACTTGGTAGTATTCAAGAGATTCTAAATGTGACTGTAAAATACCCCATATTTTAGCTTTATGCAGCTGTTGAAAACCTTATGACTTTTTTTTTTTTTTTTTAATGAAATGGGTTGATGATCCGGAGGCAGGAAGTGGCCAGAGGGCTGGCCACATGCCCTACTCGAAGGTGCTGGCTTCAGGTGTGTGAGTGATGTGACCTGTGTCTCCACTGTGTGAACTCTTTGTTTATAGAACTTAGGTTCTTTTAAGACTGCAAAAAAAATGGGTGTAGTTAAGGGCTAAATTTCTAGAAATACATCAATAATCTCCTCGATCAGATATGTAAAACACAACTTTACCTTACCCCAAACCAATAATCATAGCTCAAAGATAAAAATCACCGATGGGGTAATTAAATGCTGAGATTAAGAAGCATTCCAGAGTTACTAAATTCTTCTCTAAGGCATTCTAAAACAATGTGCTAGACCTCCTCAACACTGTGTGTGTCTTAAATCTGCGTTGTCACAGGGGCCAGTTGCCTCAGCGTTCTTAGGTGGGGCCGAGGGTGGTGGGGAAAACTAAGGACAGACGTTCTGTCGTAATTAAGGAGTATCTGGGAACAGCCCTGTGGGCAACACACAATAAATTTTTGTAGGATGAACAAATACAACGGCTAAAGGGCAGGGCATTCTAAGCGTGCACTTGAGGCCAAGAGGAGGTGGGACGGAGTAGGGGAGCTTCCCTGGAACGGGCAGCGTGGGAAGCTGGAGGAGGGAAGCGCTCCGAGGACCTCACCTTTGAGTTCACAGTATAGCTGGCCCAGGGGAGACAGGGAAGGATGCGAGAAGTTAGCTCATCAAACTGTGCTCCTTTCAAAAGAGCTAATATATGCTGTTAGAAAAACATTTTTAACCAATAGGGAACACATGTTTAAGTATAGTACTTTAGGATTCCTTTCTGGACAGAAGCAAAAGGAGAGAGGACTCATCAGGAAAAGGCAACAATAGGTACAAGACTTCACCTTCCATTTTTGCTGAAGCCCATTTCGAGTTTTCCCTCAGCTAGATGTTAATGTGGGTTTCACCGCCTAGGAGTTTATTATCATAAAGCTGATCAGGATTAAACCCGCTCTCCTTAACATCATCTAGCAGTTCACATATGGGACATTAAAATAGAACAAGGATGTACCAGGGGGACACGGGGCACAGATCTAAGCAGGTTAGGCTCACTTTCAATCTTCCAGAAAATGGGATTTTCAGTGTTTATATCTCCCAGAATAGCATAATTGTTACACGACATTTGATGACAGCTCAGGGAAACGCAGCCACCAACTACAGACTAAATTACTAACTAGTTCCTTCTGGTTGCTACCTCTGCTAGGGGAAAGGTTACTTTTGTGTCTATCCAATTTCATCTCTTGAGATTGCAAAAACAATAAAATTAGCCTGACTGGCCCTACAACCCCAAATTGATTTAAAATCTATTTGTTAATCCTGCATGTTTTGGGTTGGCTACAGCAAGAATGATTAAAAATATGTAACCTTGTGGGTTATATTTTGGTGAAAGATCAAAGTTGATAATATAGTAAAATGTTACTGCCAAACAATGACTTGAAAATATACATGTCCCATATATTGAAATAATTTCTTAGTGCATATGGGTATCAGATGGACCACATAACCCAAGCTTATTTTCACCACTTTGGAATTTTCAACTCTAACATTTTCTGCGTAAATATATTACCTTGGCACAGTGACATAACTGTAGGTAAGTGTGCTCAGTTGTCAACATTTAAAGACCTAAGAAATTACAGTAACTTTACCCTGCCTTGGAGATAAAGGATGTACAATTTATGTCATACAAAGACACTCAGTTCCTCTAGGCAGAGATCAATTGTAAATCAAACATCCAAATCTTATTTCTAAATCAACATTTTCTGAAAACATTTCAAATTAAATACATTCCACATACACTCTACACTTTGAATTTTATACCTCTGGTTGGTCAGCAGAGTGCTTAGACTCTGAAAGATAAAGGTATCTGGTTATTTATATATTCCATGACTGCATCTATTTTTTCCATCTGTTCATAAAGTTCCAGGCTTGACTTGTAAATGAGAACCATAACTGAAAGACCATAAATAATTTATTTTTCAAAGCACATTTGTTTTAGACTAGAAGTAATGATCATTCAATTCAGGTGATCATGGAAATTGGGGATAAAAGCACAACCCTCTGAATTGAGTCATTCATTATATTGGAAAGAAGCAACTCTAGCCACCGGCCATGGCCTTTCCACCTGACCCCTCAGCGCCTGCCCAGGCTCAGAGATCACCAAAGCTTATTTAACACTTTTCCCCCATTAAGCATGAAAGAAAAGATGTCCTCAGAGTGAGTGAAGAGCACCATATGAGCACAGTTACATTAGCTGCGTTCCAGGAAACTGTCTTCCAGAATCATTTGGAAGAATTTAGGTTTTAAAATACCAGGGCTCTCCATTAAAACACTTCAGAATTCCAGGGTTTGAAACTGGAAGATGTAGAAACAAACAAGAACCTCAAGGTCAGGACTATGAAACGCTCACTAAAAGGCCCGCTGGAGAAAATGGATTCTTTGCTGGTACTTGTTCCACTGTTTTTCCCTTTTCAATGACATGTAAACAATGTGGGCACGTGTACATTTACATTCTTAATCGTGACAAAAGATACATTTTAAAAGAGTTTCCTAAGTGTCATGGTTTAGAAAACTGATTTGGGAAATAATTTCAGTACTTTTCTCTACCGGTTAAGTAAGAATCTTTGCTAGGAATGCAGACTCACGACATGCTGAAAGGGGTTGCCAGTAGCCAGGGAGAGGGACGTGGCACTCCCTCACCTTTCAAAATCTCTCTTGGGAGATGTGGGAGATGGTGGCAATAAGGATCTAATGTATTTTCTATAATGCAAGAAAGGTCGTAATCTTGAAGAATTAATTGCTGATTTCAATGCCCTCCTCTCTCACTACAAGCCTGTTTACAACATCTGAATAAAGAATCACTGAATCTGTTTTTCTATCACCATGGAATACACCTAAGAGAACCAGGTGACTATACATGAAAACATTTCACATTAGTTAACATTTAAAAAGAGAAAGCTTCAGGAATTCTCTAGGTGTTTAAAGACATGTGGCATAACGGAAATACACCAGACAGACAAAGAAAAGCTCTGCCACTCAGTAGCTGTGTGTTCCTGAACAAGTCACTGTTTCTTGGCATCTTAGTCTTCTCATCTGTAAAATGGGGGTGAGGCCAGACTTTGATCTTTAACCTCCTGTCCAGCTCCAAGTAACCACTGTGTTAATTACCCTTTATAGACTCTTCCCCTATATATAAATGGATATTGGGAGATCAGCTAATATCTATTAGAGTACACTGAAAAATCTCTAAGTCGTTCCTAGGAACAGCAGAATGTTTTGTCATGTTGGGTCTTGGTTCACACCACATGCACTGCGGCAAAGGCATAGATCCATCAAACTGCACGTTGAGAGCATTGCCAGGCCAGCGGCAACTGTGTTCCTCAGTCAAATACATGATGATATATTGCAACTCACCAGAACGACAACTGAAAGCAAAGGCATTCATTGTACTGGCCACTCCCAACTAACAGTCTGAGAACCACCGGAGGGACGAGAGCAATACATCTCCGTTTCATCCAGTACACTCTGCATTTAGAATGGCTGCCTCCCCGCCTCCTTATCACGCCTGGCCTAGAGGGAGTCGCATGACCCAGCTGCACACAGGGAGAGAAGCGACAGAACGAGGGCGCGAAGACGGTGGGGACCTGAGCCGGAGCCCCGCTTCTTACCTCCTCCACAGGACTCGGAGCACTTGGTGAAGCCCTCGTACTCCCAGTCATACAGCTCGTCGAAAACCGGCAGGCCACCAAAGAGCTCGTCTGTGTGGTCGGGGTTGAACTCGGCGGTGTCCCCGTTGCACGGCCCCGCGTAGCAGGCACGCTGGGAGGCCGGCCTGGGCCCTTCACACTCGTCCACAGGCAGGTCAGCCACGGACTGAGAGAAAGACAGGAGCACCTGGCACCTGACGACTCGCACCTGGGTGCCCACACCACAGGTAACCGTGCAGGCCGACCAGGCCTCTGGGATGAACCTGCAGTCGGCAAGCAAACAAGAGGACAGGGTGAGAAGCCCCAGGCAGGAGGCCGTGGCGGTGGTGAGGGGCTGCATGCCGCCTGCCCCCGCTGCCCGGAGCTGGCCCAGGGTGTGCTCAGGGCCCCTCAGCCCTGTTCTGGGATGGCGCTTCCGCTTAGCTCAGGAGCTCATCTGCCACTGTTCCTGGGCTGCTTGCTGCTTTGGATGTCACACGAACTCCCAGCTGTGAGACATTCCAGCCAGAGACCACCCGCTCCGCCCTGCCTCGCACCGCTGCGGCAGCTCCTCAGAGCGCGGGACTGGTGGCCGCTTCTCCTCGCTCTCAATCCCAGCACTTGTGCCTACTGCGAAATGCTGGCTATTCTTACAGCAGACTAATACTGATACTAAAAACTATAATAAAATAAGCCCTTGGAGATATTTAAAGAAACTTTTTTTTTTTTTTTTTGGGGTCTGGATCTCAGTAACTTTCTTTGCTTTTCTGCTTAATGTCCTTCCCAAGATTTATTTATATGTATAAAGAGGTGTGTTGTTTTTGTAAGTTTCCAAGAATGGCACAAAGTCCTGTTCCTCACACATTCTTTGAATTAGTCTGAACTCCAATTCTTTTTATATCATAGAGAGAAGCCACGCTACAAATTTAAATCCTCAGGCCTGTCGCAGCGCACGAGAGGTTCCGCATTCACACACGTTTATTCATCACCCTCCACGCCCCGTCCTCTGAAGGAAGCCATACGAATGAGAATTGGGTTTTTCTCTGAGTTTCTCTAGCATGTAGGAAAATATCCAAATTCCAAAAAATGTCCCTCCAGCCTCTACCCTCCACCTCTCCCCGCCATGAATCAACCATGGCCATAACTGCAATGACCTTGAGAGGAACCTAGGACAAAAAGCCCAGAGGGAACCACTAACATTTTAAAAAATAAATAAGTATAATAATTCGGAAAAAGAACTTTGGGCTACATTTTAAAAAAATTTTCCAGGATCCTATTGCTTTCTCACAGGGAGTCGTGCTGAGGAGGCATGGAAACCTGGCTCCCTAACCTTGACGTTGGCAGCAAATGAAAGAACTGATAAGAAGGGTTATAGCATTAAATACTAGCAAGTGCAAATGGTTCATATCTAGTTCAGGGAAATTGAAATTCTAAAAGTAAACCAATCCAAGTTTTCAAACTTGAAGGACCACAACAAAGATGTTTCCCAGGCCTGAGCTTGGGCCTTATGTGGAGCAGAAGTGGGCTGGTCAGGAGACGAGACTTCCCCCAAAGCAGCACACACAGTGCTCCACGGTGTGGCAAGAGACCCTTCGAGAAAGGCCTGACCCCAGCCACCTTTGAAGAGCCAGCCACTAGGAGAGAAGAAAGGTCACCATACAACCCTGTCAGGAAGGTGGACAAGGGTGGCATGGCCACCCTGAATTATTCTCAAGATATCCTCATCACAATGTCACCTTCTTCTCTTGTTTTTGACTTCTTTGCTTCCATCTTCTGCAGCTCTAGAACTTGGGAAAAAAATAGTATCCTAAATGATTAAAAAGTCTTCTCTCTTTAAATAATGCCACCTGCAGGAGACTTTTTTAGAAACATAAAACTAAAGCCTGCAATCAAAATAACTTTAAACTTCTTATTACACGTTCACATCCACCTGCCTGGCTCTTGGAACAAGAATCATGACAAATACACAAGCACTGCATTTTACAACACAGGTGCAGACATGAAGGAAAACATGCATTAAACTATTTTGCACATTAGAAAGATGGGAAAGCAACTGATTAGCCTGCCAACTTTGACAGTCGTGTGACAAACAACGCTTCTTTAATAACATGGTGTCAAATTTTGTTTTCAAACCCACAAGATGGTAGTATCTCAAAAAGAACTGCACTTTATTAGCTTTTCCTATGAAGGAAGGATTATTATTCTGTCACCCGTAAGAGTCTTCTTCAGTGACTATTACAACAGAACATGGGTTAGCAAGCTTTTTCTGTAAAGGGCCAAAGTGGATATATTTTTTCGACTTTGCAGGCCACGTGGTCTCTGTTGCAGCTACTCAACTATGCATTATGGTGAGAAATATGTAAATAAAGAAGTGTGGCTGCATTCCAAATAAACTTTAGCTGTAAAAAGGGGTGGGGATGGGATGGTTATGGAAGGGTCTGGATTTGGCCTGTGGCCTGTATTTCTTCAACCCCTAGTATAGAATAGAACATTTGAAAGAGATGCCAAACACATTGAGATTCTTACATAATCCCCAAACTTATTTTAGGTCTTAGTTTCCATCTCTTTCCACATATATAAGCTTATAGAATGACAAGTAGCCAACTTGATTTATGTTTTCAAAGTGGGTCCCAGATGAAATCTAGAATATAAATGATGCACAGACTGGACCTTCAGCTCTCCTTGCCTATAAAATGCATTACTTTGCATTTTCTCTCTTTCCAGAATCAAGAAGATATACCAAAAACACACAAAATAGAAAGGGCATGCTACTGAAGTCCCATAAACTTGTTGCAATAGTTGAAACTTCTTTATTTTAAAGCAGCATGTTTAAGTGAAAAAAAATATATATATATAATTATGTGAGCATGTAGATGTATGCATGTACGTGTATTTTTTTTTTTTTTTACTATCCAGACATTTTGGGTTAATAGCAAAAACAATAAACATCTGCTTTATGTCTCCCAAATGAGAGTTTTATCAAATATAAAACAGCCTCCCTGGGTTATCTCCCAATCCACTATCCTTAGGTCTTCATCAAATTCACACCAATTAAAAAAATTAGGTTTTTAAGTGATGCTGTCCTTTGGCAGTCATCTTAATTTCTCTAGTGCATACTGTGTATGGTATAATATATTCTCTCTTGTTGAAGGCAGGAGATTATGTTTCAAAAGAAAAATATCTGATAGTGCGAATGGCCAAATGAATAATAACTGTTTTTCATATGAAGCTTTCCCCCAAGTCCCCAGATCTCCTAACTCTGTATTTACTATCTTGAGTTTTCTGGCCACAAGTGGGAGGAAGCAGGGTCAGTGAGAGGGCAGGCAAGTGAGTTAGAAGGTTTAATTCTAATGTTCAGAAGTCTCATCTTGAATAGCACTTGCTGAGTTAGAACTTTTAAAGTGGGACCTTAAAATGGAGTACAATCTTTTTTAAAAAAATTATGTTAATAATTTTGATGTGTAATCCAAGAATGGATTAATAAAATGTGGTATATGTATACCATGGAGTACTATTCAGCTCTAAGAAACAACGGTGATATAGCACATCTTATATTTTCCTGGTTAGAGCTGGAACTCATACTACTAAGTGAAGTATCCCAAGAATGGAAAAACAAGCACCACATATACTCACCAGCAAACTGGTATTAACTGAGCAGCACCTAAGTGGACACATAGGTACTACAGTAATAGGGTATTGGGCAGGTGGGAGGGGGGAGGGGGGCGGGTATATACATACATAATGAGTGAGATGTGGACCATCTGGGGGATGGTCATGATGGAGAGTCAGACTTGTGGGGGGAGGGGGGGAAAGGGCATTTATTGAAACCTTAAAATCTGTACCCCCATAATATGCCGAAATAAAAATAAATAAATAAAAAAATAATTTTGATGTGCAAATGGGCAATGAAAAGGTTCTTACTGAAGTTTAATTTGGGTAAAGATTCTTTTGGTTATAATAAAGTGCACAATAAATGTAATGCACTTGAATCATCCTGAAACTATCCCTTACCTCCCAGATCCATGGAAAAACTGTCTTCCATGAAAATGGTCCCTGGTGCCAAAAAGGTTGGGGACCACTGCTTTAAAAGATGGGTGTAAACTTCAGAAGGGATTGGTATGATTTCTACATTTAGTCTTTCCATCTCCAGGAAGTTGAAAAAACCCCGCACACCTGGCAAATGAATGATTTACGCTTCTGTGTGGTCTCCTATTTGCAAGCTTACTTGTTCTTTTCATTTCAAAAATAATTTAGGCTTTAATGAGATTAATTACCATAGTCTCTTTTATGCAGTAGAAAACAGTGACAATAAAATTTACTTCTAAAATCCCTATGTGGTTTAGTTTATTAGTGACTGTTATGGAGTCAGAAGCATGCCCTGAAATAATAAAAACACTCACTTTGTTATATAATGCTAAACAGAAGCAATTTACTGCTGGTTAATTAGTCTCACATCACCACAGATATTAGCCAGAGTTAGGCTCGAGTTGTATGTACACGCAGTCTGTAAGTAACTCATTTAACTTTTTCTTTTTTTTTCCTACTATTTTCCTCTCTCTTTCTTTTTTACATATATGTTTTGGGATTATCAAACTAAGAATAGCTTTATGTTATTTTGATGCTGTTACTAGTCTCATGATCTAGTTTCAAAATGCAAACTGAAATGTGCACAAAGTCACATTAAAAATACTCAGTTTTGGAATAGTTTTTAGTCTTATTACATTTTGAGCTATGATTACTACAGGGGTTGTGGATTTCTTTTTATCTTTTTCATTTGATGTATATTTGTGTATGAAAGTGGTAGCATGATAGAAGGGTGAAGAAAGAGAAGGGAATAAACTGAATAGGGAAAAATTATGAAAAACTTTGACATGAACCAAACAGATTCCTGAGTATCCTTTTAAGTGCATATTTTCTGGTTATCTTGGCCTTTCATTGACATTGAGCTATTTTACTACTCTGTATGATTCTTATCCATAGAAATGCAAATTGTGTCTAGTGGAATGCAAGTTATTGTTGCTCTGTGGATAGACCCATTTTGCATCTATTTGTAAATTCATTTCAGCATTATTATTTGCCTAAATATGTATCATTCTTTTAAATTTTCTTTGAATTGGTTGTAACATATTACTGGTTCCCTCATTAATTAATGATGTAAATAAACTCTTTGGCAGTTGTTCATTTTATACTTGTATTAAAATCATGTGTTTTCCATTTTGAAAATTTTATCATTAACTAGTGGTCACAGAATGAATCTGGAAAATAGTACACTGAAAAAATAAAA